TCACCTGTCGCTAGAGTGTACCCTCAATTGATTTTTATGAAATCGTGGGCTCACATAGGATTTCCAGATTAGTATCATTTCTTTATGCGAACTTATCATACATATCTTAGCAAACAAATAACAAATACAGTCCCTTCTGTGTTTCTTCAGGAGCTAAAACGGAGGAGGTGGCTCTGATGAACGGCCTGACAGTTAATCTACATCTTCTACTGGTAACATACACTCATTCTCCATAAGATCTTTTTGCATTACATATGCATAATCAACTGTCCAAAGATTGTCAGAAGTTGTTTAAATGAAGGCAGGTCAACCAGTTGAGTCTGTTTAATCCACTTCAACACCAATACTGTCATTATTCTGCAGCTTTCTTTCTACAAACCCACGGCGACTCGGCATAAAATCCTCCTGGAGGACAAAGCCTTTCCTTCAGACCACGTGAGTAAACCTGCAGAGGTCAAAGTCCCACAGCGTGACCCTAAAACTCCACTTTTCTATAAAATACTTCCTCTGCTGCTGCACTTTAAATCCAGAGTAAAGGATAAAGCTGACTGTGCTTAAAAAGCTTTAAAGGGGCCCTCTGTAGGGAACTTTAGCCTTTGAAGTCCATTTACATTCAATTAATGATTGTCACCCAAACCATGTTTTTATGCATAATAACTCCCCCCCCCCCCCTGTGCTCAGTACGCAGTGGAGTCTCAGGTCAGACTGCGAGGGTTCGACCCTCAGAAGAGCATGCTGCTGATTTCACCCAGGCCGGTACTGGAGCATCAAACTTCACACATTATTATTATTTACAGACTTTATTCATCCCGTCATTTGCCTGCACACAAACTCAAATCTACTTCCTGGTTGTGGTGCTGCTCTACAGGGGGAAGAGACCCTGAGGACGGAGGACATCGTGCGGCGGATCGAGGAGGAGGGAGACTCCATCGCCGTGGTGATGTTCAGCGGAGTCCAGTATTACACCGGACAGCTGTTCAACATGGCCGCCATCACTGAGGCCGGACACAGGAAGGTATGAATCTGTACTGAACTTATATGTTCATCAGTTGTGGAATACATACTCAAGTGTTATTTTTCAGGGACTTGTGCCTAAGTATTTCCATTGTATGCTTCTTTTTCTACACATGCTTCACTACAGTTCTGGATTTATTAAAACAAATATTTAGTCCTGCATTTAGTGACTAGTTCCTTTGCAAAGTTAGATTATATATAGAAAAGAAAACACTGCATGATATAAAATAGTTAAAATGTTCTCTGTGTTTCAGGGCTGTTTTGTAGGTTTTGACTGCGCTCACGCTGCCGGAAACGTCGAGCTGAAGCTCCACGACTGGGGGGTCGACTTCGCCTGCTGGTGCTCCTACAAGGTCAGCTGACTGGGTGTCCACTGATTTAAATGAGAGCACAGATACATGAGGATACTAAAGTAATGACTGTCTGCTCACAGTATATAAACTCAGGTGCTGGCGGGATAGCCGGGGCGTTTATCCACGAGAAACACAACGACACTGTCAAGCCTGCGTGAGTCCTGACACCTCCGACGCTGGGATTTCAATTATTCTTTGTTGAATTGCATATCAAGCAACTTCAAGGAGAAACATAACATTATAAAAAATACTACAAATGTCCTTTTAACTTCCTTTTCTTCTTCTGTCCCGTGTCCTGCAGGCTGGTGGGCTGGTGGGGACATGACCTGAAAACTCGCTTCCGGATGAATAACGGTAAATAAAATACATACAAACTTCCAATCAACCTTTCATGTCAGGGAGGTGATTTTAAAATGGTTTTATGCTGCCATCTTGTGATCCCTTTGGGTGTTACATCTACAATACCTTTTTGGCTCTCTATCCATAATAACTATTAATGTGAAAAAAGACACATTTTTGTTTTTCATAATCGTCTCAAACCACTGTATCTGCACTGTGACTGTTTGTGTCCTCAGTGTTGGACCTGCAGCCCGGTGTGAGCGGCTTCAGACTCTCCAACCAGCCCATCCTGCTGGTGTGCCCCCTGCAGGCCAGCCTGGAGGTACTATAACTTAACAAAAATATGCTCTCCATTTTTTTTTTCTTTATTGTTGACGTTACGTTGTCATTGTCCTGTAAAAAGCACCAAAAGGTAACTATTTTACTGCATGTCAACAGTAGGAACATCAGCTGATATAATAGTCTTCTTGAGAAGTGATTAGCCTGGTCATAATTCCCCCTTTTCTCCAGGTGTTCAACAAGACGAGCATGCAGGAGCTGCGCAGGAAGTCCCTCCTCCTGACGGGGTACCTGGAGTTTCTGATCCTGCATTATTTCCGTGAGGACGCCTCCCAGCCGCACAAAGCTCACGTGCGCATCATCACGCCCTCCGACCCGCAGCAGAGGGGCTGCCAGCTGTCGCTCTGCTTCTCCGTCCCCATCAGGACCGTCTTCCAGGAGATGGAGAAGAGGGGAGTCGCCGTGAGTACAGACACGATTTTAGAGGAGTGTTTTTGAACTGGAAAAATCCACAACATCAGTTTGAATCTGGGAATAATCTGCATTAAGAGTTTCTGATGTTTGTCTTTGTTCAGTGTGACATGAGGGAGCCCAGCGTGCTGCGGATCGCTCCGGTGCCGCTCTACAACTCCTTCACCGACGTCCATCGCTTCATAGAAACTCTGCGAGACGCTCTCACTGCCAGCAGCACATAAACACAGAGGTGTGTGTTTTACTCTGACCACACACATACTCACCACTCAAGCCTATGATCTTAAAAATATATTTCCCTAGGTTTAGGATCTTAATTAATTTTTTAAGATATATTATGTCTGGATGGTTTAAGCCACTTGTTTCCAACCTGGGTGTCGTGAGGCCTTTTTGATTTGAAGGGGCTGTTAATACAGTTTGATTTCAAAATATTCAGTTCATCTGTGTCTCAGCAGTTTTTTTCTCATATTTTCCACATACTATATTATAACTATGACTTTATGTCTTATACTTACGTCATCCTTCTTCTCTTTGCTTCCCAAGGTGAGTGCAGAGATTTCAACCCAAGAGCGGAGCTTCCTAGACTTCACGTCAACTGAGGACTTTTTTTCACATGTACTTTTGTGTATCAGTGGACATGAAATACAGACAACAGAGGTTTCATCATTTAGTGATGGATAAGGATTGATCGAAGAGTTGTGCTAAGGAGTTTCACACAAAATAAATTCCAAATCTAAAATATCGATCACTATTGTTTGAAAACTTTGCGTTATAACTACTGGAAAATGAACTCATTGTAGTAGACCATCGAGAAGGTGGTTGACTTGTTTTCGCTGGCTTTTCAAGTGACTGTGTTGTTCGAAATCAATAGTGCGGTCACTCCCATACTGAGACTGATTCATCACTGGTGATCGTGCCTCAAGGACAGTATTTCCCCTTGTAAAAAATATATTCCTCTGGGAACAATTTTTCAACTCCAAAACCCGGTATTACCCCTGGGAAATTAGATTTTTTTTGTGGGTTTATAATAAATTGGTAACAATTTTCTTTTTCTGTGGACTAGGCGCGAACTGACTTTCTAGAAGAATAACACTCACAGCNGAAGTACAGTACTTTCCACCACTGGCTACAACTGCTGTCAGAATATTGTTATTTTATTGTGATAAAATTGCCTACAAGGTTTGCATGCTATTCATATAACTGTAGGCAGATGATGAATCTCAGAAGTTTGATTTGATCAAAATGTCAACAGTCACCAGTAATGTTCAAAATGAAGTCTTTATTTTCTAGAGACGAGTGGAAAAAAGTAATTTTGTTATTAAAGAAGTCATACTAAACTATGTAACCAAAATAATAATGAATAAAGTCACCAATAGTACGTACATTTTTTTTTAAATCACAGTTTATACATGTTATACTATGACTTTTTACATAATATTTTAAACACACTACTAAAGCTTTATTTTTAACAGACTTTTAAAAGACTTTTAAAAGTTTTGTTTAACAGATATTTTTATGTCTCATTCTTATGTTGTCCTTTTCTTTTTCCCAAGATGACTGCAGAGTTCCTACACTACTGCACACTTTAAATCGTCCACGTGTACTTACATATTTTAGAGGTCAGAACGGTCTTGGTTTGTGGTGGGCCTATTCAATAACAAAATAAAATATGTTTTGAACCCTGTTTCATAGTTAGGTCATGGAGCCACAGTCTTTGACTCTAGCCTCTAAGCTATTTTGTCTCACACTTCCGAGGTTAAACCGAGAATAAACTATGTATCATTCACTAAGAGGTGCCTGGGCTGTGTATTTTAAGGTCCAAACCTGAGGTGAAAAACTCACATAGGCCAGGGAACACCTAACTGTGTCACACCGAATGGCTCACTGTGATAAGAACCCATCTTGGAGACCAGAGAACGTGAGTTCAAACCTTGGGTGATCCACTGAGTTTAAAGATCCCAGGTTGTGAGTTTGAGTCTTGTGCCAAGCAGAGTTTTAAGGTGTCTTTCCCTTGATGAAGAAGTCAAGTACAAGTAAGAGCAGAGAACTGTCATCAGGTCTCATAGCTCAAGGAGATAGAAGGGTGGTTGGTAGACCAGAGGTTGCTGGTTCGAGGCTTACACGTTGCAGAGATTTAAGGTGTCTTCTTCAAACCTAAGAAGTCAAATACAAGTAAGAGCAGAGAACTGCCATCAGGTCTCATAGCTCAAGGAGATAGAAGGGTGGTTGGTAGACCGGAGGTTGCAGGTTCGAGCCTTATACGTTGCAGAGAGTAGATAGGATAAGGATAAAGGGGTAATGAATACCTTAACAGGGTGAATAGATTAATAGGATAACGTTAATAGATGCTAATTAAGGGAATAGAAGAAAGGAGGCTTAGGAAGTAAGAGAGTAGTGAATAGGATACTATCTTAAGAATGGGAAATTAAGAAAGGAGACAAATGTATTTTAAGAAAATTTGCTTTATTCACATTTATTCATACATAGCAGTGCAGCCTTTTCCCCAAGTCTGCTAAACGTCCCTAAGTCTGCTAAACGTCCCCAAGTCTGCTAAACTTCCCCAAGTCTGCTAAACTTCCCCAAGTCTGCTAAGTCTACTAAACGTCCCCAAGTCTGCTAAACGTCCCCAAGTCTGCTAAGTCTGCTAAACGTCCCCAAGTCTGCTAAGTCTGCTAAACGTCCCCAAGTCTGCTAAGTCTAATAAGCGGCCGATAGGTGGCTGCCGGCTCTCACTGCACTCCTGTGCAGGGCCCTGCAGTCACTGCCGATAGTCTGCTAAGTCTGTAGGCCTGCTAAGTCTGCTAAGTCTGCTAAGTCGGGGGGGCTGACGTGGCTGGGGGGGGCCGCTCGGCACCCCAGCCACCGCCCCAAGTCGGCTAAGTCTGCTAAGTGGCTGTGTGCTCTCACTGCAGCCACATCGATAGTCTGTTAAGTCTGCTATACGTCCCTCAGGCTGCTAAGTCTGCTATACTTCCCCAAGGCTGAAAACGTCCACAAGTTTTTCAGAAACATAGGCAGCCGGGGTCTCAATTGATGGGGGGGGGGTCCTCTCTTCACTCTCTGTGGGAAGAAAAGAAGAAAAAGACACCATGAAGTCAGTATAGCTAACCCTAACCCATGAAAACATTTATGTGGAAATAAGGCACGGTTTAGTGCGTAGACACAAGGCGTAGTATAGTATGTCAATAACGATGACAGAAAAGTCAAAAAAGTCATAACCCTAACCCATGTTGGAAAAATACTAAAAGAAAATATCGTACAGTATGTCTAAAATATCCTAAAAAGTCAGAGTATAGTACCTTAAGTTCTTCAGAAACTCCAGAAGCCACCGTCTTCATTGATGTCAGATGAATGTCCTCGCAGTCCTGAGGGAAGAAAAGAAGAAAAAGACACCATGAAGTCAGTATAGCTAACCCTAACCCATGAAAACATCGTATTTTATGTGGAAATAAGGCACGGTTTAGTGCGTAGACACAAGGCGTAGTATAGTATGTCGATAACGATGACAGAAAAGTCATAATATAGCATTTCAAAGAATGCAACAAAATAATCGAAAAAAATATGTTATGCCATAATAAGGCACGGTATAGTGTGTAGATAACGATGACAGAAAAGTCATATTATAGCATGTTGAAAAAAATTGCAAAAAAGTCATAACCCGTCAACAATGTCGGAAAAATGCAAAAAGAAAACCTCGTACAGTATGTCGAAAAAATCTTAAAAATTCATAGTATAGTACCGTAAGTTCTTCAGAAACTCAGGAAGCCACCGTCTTCATTGATGTCAGATGAATGTCCTCGCAGTCCTGTGAAGTCAGTATAGTAGATTGAACATTTCAGTAAAAACTACACAGTATAGTAGTTTTAGAAAAAAAATGAATAATATATTAGGGGGAAAGATTTGAATAAAAAATGACATAGTATAATAGAGTACTATCAGAAGACATTTTGAAAAAAACGACATAGTATAGTATGTCTAAAATTTCAGAAAAGTCATACTATAGTACCTTAAGTTCTTCAGAAACTCAGGAAGCCACCGTCTTCATTGATGTCAGATGAGTGTCCTCGCAGTCCTGTGGGGAGAAAAGAAGAAAAAGACACCATGAAGTCAGTATGATAGTCCAGGGGTCGGCAACCTTTTTGATATGAAGTGCCATCACAAAAAAAAATTGTTATCAGCGTGCCAACGATCTGTTATCAACGATGAATTATCAACGGGGGGGGGAGCTCGACGCTCGTGAACTGTCAACAGGAGGGCCGGGGGGGCCTCGCTGCGGGGAAGCAGTGTGTGGATCTGTCAGCGCAACTTACATGATGCCGAATTTAACAAAGTGCTTTCCTCTGTGGTGAAACGATCAGCACTGCACCACGGAGGAAAGCGGCAGAAAGTCGCCTGGAGTTAAAGAGCATCTTGCAGGTTGTTTTTTCTACATTTATGCTTAAACTTGCTTGAAAATTACAATTAAAAAAGTGAATGTAGGATTTGATATGTTTTACGAGGCATAAGGGCAGGAATTCAGAGGGAAAGGAACAATTTTGAGCTCTGCTCTTAAAAACGGCTTTTTTTTAAGGTCATACGTCAAACGCGTCATATTACATCACAAAGGGGAAACATCTCCGCTCTCTGACCGCGGGTATAGTAGAGTTGCGTTGAGTTGAGCGGTTGTGTTTTAGTGAGCTGTTATTTTTCTGTAGTTTTACATTGTATTTCACCATTTGTAATCATGGTGCAGTATTGTGTTTGTGCAGGTTGCACAAATACCAGCCTGTCAGGA